GGGCACTCAGGTTGCTTCCAACTCTTTGCTATTTTAAACAAAGCTGCGATAAACATGGGTGTGCAAATATCTGCTTGGATGGCAGACATGGTCTCTCTGGGGTATATTCCCAGTAATGGGATTGCTGGGTCAAATGGTATCTCTATTTGCAACTTTTTGAGAAAGCGCCACACCACCTTCCACAATGGTTACAAGACTATAATTCTTTAAGAAAGGAAATAGCTTATCTTGTTCCCCACAGAGTGACTGATGGATTTGAACAGCCAGCCTTTCAGTTAGCAGTTCAATTCATTATGCATTCCATCCCTACAACACCTTTTACAGTCTAGGAAACCCTACAAAGTAGTTCCATTCTTTCCCACTGGAGCACTAAGAGTCAAAATCAATTCAACGGCAATGAATTACCTTTTTAAATTTTAAGGACTTACCAATTTGTGATTCAAAACCCAAGCCAGAAATTGTAAATGGAGAACCCTAAGTGCCTGTGCTGCCATTCCAAGTAAATGCAATTAGTGCACATAAAGGTGGAAGGACTAGGAACAGGAAGTAGGAATTTTAATCACTAAAGATCCTATTTCCTCCTATCAACTCATTTCACAGGAGAAACTCAACAAACTTCTAAAATTCATCTGTTGATGCAGCCTATACACAGTGGAATAACCTACGTTAGCACATCAGTAGCTGTGTCTCAGCCTGATCTTGACTCTAGCTTTGAAAAGGTATGTGCATTCACACAGCTCAATGTACTGAACTCTAAAGAAACTCTATGAAGTTTGTCAAGAACGTATCATTGCTATCCTCTTAGCCACCATGTGCGTCTAAAAGAAAAAACAAAACCAAACACCACAAGTCTGTCTGAGAAGCGCTGTTGCTAGGATGCTCCTTGAAGGCAAGGATGGTGAGACCCTCATATATTTGGGGCATGTGATCAGGAAGAATTAATCCCTAGAGAAGGAGAATTATGCTTGATCAAGTAGTGGGTGACTGGAAAAGAATACAACCTTCAACAGCATGGATTAATCCAGCGGATGCAACAGTGATTTCCAAGCACAGCAATCACAAAGACGGTGCAGAACCAGGCACTTGTTTCACCGTGTCATTCCCAGGATCACTACGAGCTGGAATCAACTTGATAGCATCTAACAGTAACAGCATGGCTTCAAATTTCCCCTTCCTCTTGAGGTCTTTCCGTCCAAATACAAACATACTAAAGTCTTGCCCATCTTAAAAACAAAATAATAGAAAAGCAAACAACAAAACAAGTTCCACAGGTGCTCACGCCCATGTTGAACTCTGGCCTTTCTAGAACCGTGGCCAATCACGTTTGACGATATGCTTCACAATCCACAGCTGCTTTCTCCATAAAAATGGCTCTTAATAGGGTTCCCAAATGGCATCCACATTGTTCAAGCCAGCACAAGTATTTCCGTACTCATTCTACTGACTTTGTCAACATTATCTGGTATACTTAAAACACTATTTTCCAGTCCCTGTCCAAGCATTTTCTTGAGTTTCTCTCCTTTCACATTTCCCAGAGTCCTTTGACCAGACAATCTCTCTCTCTCTTTCTCTTCGCACTTTGACTTCTTGCACAGGCTCCCTTATCAGTGTCACCACCTTAATCAATCCATCTGACTGTGTGACATCATCTCTGGAGGAAAGTCTGAACTTTTCCAAGGGACTGACTCCCAAGTGCTCAGACTGAACTCAAGCATTCTCCACTGAACTGAATGGCCTCCAGTGATCCCTGAGTCACTCAGCACTCAGCCATCTGACCTTTCCTCTTAAATCTCTACTTAAGAAGGCTCGTCCGGATTCAGAGTGAAATAACTCCTCCAGAAGAATATAAATTAGAATGTTTAGCTTTACTCCCTTTCCCGAACTCCAGTTTCCTAACTTCAGATACACTTGAGAAATCTTGGATTTTGTATCATCACTGGAAACAGAACTCAGTTGTGATCAGCAGCAGGCTACCTTTAGTTGTTCCTGATTTCCTAACTACTATTCATTTTCCCAACTAGCTGACAAATAAATAACCACTGTTCTGGCTGTGTACTTCTAACCAGGTCTCTCATTCAATCTCACAGCCCTGAGGAAAAGCAGACAATCCAGAGCCTACATATGTCACAAGTTGAAAAGAAACTGACATCCTGGTTACTGTATCTGCTTAGTGCCATTTGACCAAGTACAAACATTTCATCACTCTATCCAAAAAAAAAGGTAAAATTGGAATGGAGTCATAGCATTTATTCAACTCTTCCCATTTAACTTCTTATTCTGAAGTTGGATTTCTGAACACTTTCACTTGACCGTCCCACACCCTAAAAAGCTTCCTGGGTATCTCCATTGTTTGATTTCCTCCCCACCCAACTCCAAACTGAATGCTAAGTGAATATAAATTATTAGAGCACCACAGAGATAGTTCATCTATAAAACCAACACAGGGAGGGTCCAGACAGAGTTGGCAGTTCTCTCCTCAGATGATTTACAAAGATAACAGTTACTGAAAGAGGTGACCTCTGAGATTTGAGGCACATTCTGAGGTGTCTCTGTTTCAAAAGCTAAACAACATATATTTCAAATTCTTGTAAAATCTTTTCTTTGCTCCTCTATCAAGTAGATGGGAATAGGAATAATTTTCTTAGATCATAAGTGACATGGTTAATCTGTTTTCCTTCTCTCAAAGAGGTATTTAAATATTTCAATCTTTCCTCTTACGTATACTTCTGATAGATAACGGTCCCAAGCTTTGAACAATGAATGATGAAATTATGTGCATTACTTTTTTGTCTCTTTCTCTCTTACACACACACACACATACACACACACATCATAGTAATACTGTGCATTTATTGTACTGGTTGAGCAGTGAAATTTATTAAAGTTCTATTTTTACAGTGAACTGGCAAATATTGCTTTGGAAAACATGAATTATGATTTTGAGAAAAATTCCATAAAACAGGATAATATAATTTTAATTTAAAAAAAGAAGAAGAAATGACTTTGGCTAAGCTCTCAATGTTACTGCCATACTGCTTGCTATCAGGTTCTGGATGGCACCCAGTTCTCAAGTCTTTGCCTAATCAGAGCACTTCTGTGTTAGGAAGAGGACTACTCCACTCATCTAAATCACTGTGGCTTGTCCTACGTGTGAGTGAGTGGAGAGGATGGGAAAGAAGAGAGAACAAGAAGGTTAAAGAGAAAAGGGAGGAGAGAATTCTTTCTCATTTGCATATTCTTTTGGTTTTTTTCATTCATGTTATTTATAAAGTGAAAATTCTTGAAGGATTCCATAAACTATTTCAAGTCAGATTCATGTGCTAAAATTACCATTCTCTAAGATGAAACTTAAATAGATAAGAAAATTAAAATAAGAAGTTAAAGATGTAATAAATAAATTCAAATGCATAAAACAAGTAGATTTTACCTGCATTATTTCACCCAATCACCTAACAGCCAAGACCCTCTAAAGAAAATTGCATGGCCTTCCCAACTCCTTGGAGACACAGTTTAGTTAACAGCCTACATTTGCTTCTGAGATGACCACACAGCTTACATGGCAAACTCATTTTAAAGTGTCAATCATGTCCTTTAAATCTAATTAGTTTGGAAAGTAGTGTCACTGACCTGAAACTATGCAGACCATTTATTATCATATCATTTGATCAACCTAACACTTTACCTCAGTTGAGTCTGAGACACCTGTAGCCAAAATGTAATAGTCTTTCTCTCATTCATTACTGCTAACTCTCAACACAATTTCCTATTTACAACTCAATTTCTCTCTATGAATAAGCATACCCAGCTTCATGGAGACATCTCACACATATTCCCTTATTTAACATTTCATAGCAATTAAGATTATCTATCTCTAAAGGAGCCCTGTTGGTGCTGTGGTGAAGGCCGCTAACCAAAGGTCAGCAGTCCCAACCCACTAGTGGCTCTGCAGGAGAAAGACGAGATGATATGCATCCATAAAGAGTTCCAGCCACAGAAACCCTATGCAGCGGCTCTTCTCTGTTCTTTGGGGTTAATACGACTCAGAATAAATTCCATGGCAGTTGTCATGCATCTCTATCTATCTATCTATCTATTTATCTATCTATCTATCTATCTATCTATCTATCTATCTATCTTCTGCTTATCTTTCTATCACATGCGAACTTTTAAATGTTCAAAATTGTGTAAGAACAGAATATACCAGTGAAAATTTGAGACCTTACGTATGAGAGATTTTTCTTTTTTAAAGGTAATACAGATAAGAACTGTAAAAGGAGTCTATAGACTCCTTACATGAGTATGTATTAGAAGGAAAAAAACCTCTGTCAGGTTTGACAGTATTTAACCAGACCAAGGGCAGGAGAAGGCTGACTTAGAAGAAGTAACAATTAGCTCCCCTGAAGTTCAGAGATCACAGTCAAAAGTCTCGAAGGGAGGGGCTAATGGACAGAACCACATTGAGAACCAGGCACTGTTCCACTGGTGCCATAGAGAAGGGTGGAAGTACAGTGGCTGGGATATGCCGGCTGGTTAAGCAACAGAGATCACCAGATCACATTCCCTGGCAAGAGCATCCAAATTTCCTAATCTTCTTCCACTTTTGGCTTTGTACATTTAAGAACTGGGTTTCAAGACAAAAATACAAGCCAGTGATCTTAACTCCAAACCACAGAACAGTATATTCATATATGCTGCCAACATGCTGGAGTCTTATTTTTTAAATCTGGCATTAAAAAAAAAAAAAAGCAGCAGTAGAATTCTATTTCAAGTAATGACTAGTCTCTAGGAGAGGACATCAAAAAGCTGGATGTGAGGCGAGCGCTGCCTCTTGTATCTTACGCTTTCCTTGGGGGGAAGTGAAGTTGCATTCTACCAAAATTGTTGTTTGTTTGAAGGATAAGTGAGATTTCTTCTTCAATGATGTTTACTTAGTCAAATGATTACAAGTGAATACGATTTAACTTTGGGTCAAAGAAAATACGCACATATAACAAACTTACCTTCAGGTGAAGAACCAGTCTTTTGGGAAAAGACAGCATTTACTTTACTCTTCTTACTGAGATCGCTGCTTACAGATAAGCCGGACTGCATTTTTCTGTGCATTTTGTGAGAAACGGGAGAGGAAAGTTTTCGACTGTCTGCAGACGCATGCTTCACTCCATGGTGAATCCCATTCCCATTGTTCAGACCTGTGTGCCCATTCTTGATCTTGCCTCCTTCTTCCTCACTTGATTCCAGTGATAAAGGCTGGAGCTGAGGCAGGCGCTGAGGTTGGGCTACAATGAAATGCAGGAAAAATGTTATCAGGTTATATACATTCAGTAACAGTTTTGGTGAAGAGATTGAGATTGTTAACAGCTTTAGTTTGCTTGGCTCCACAATCAACACTCTTGGTACCAGCAGCTAGGAAATTAAAAGACAAACTGCATTGGGGAAAGTCTGCTCTCCAAAATACTGAAGAGTAATGATGTCAGTCTAAAAACTAAGATGTGCCTGATTCAGGCCATGGTCTTTGCAATTACTTCCTATGCATCAGAAAGCTGGACAATGAGAAGGGATGACAGAAGGAAAAATGATGCCTTTGAGCTGTGCTTCTGGAGAAGAGTATTGGAGAACAAACAGGTTCATCCTAGAGAGGTTGAGACCAGGTTGCTCCCTGGAGGCAAGGATTCCGAAGCTTCGTCTGACATACTTTGGACATGCTGCAAGGAGGGACTAGTCCTTGGAGAAGGAAGTCATGCTTGAAAGTGTGGAGGGACAGTGCAGGAGAGGAAGACCCTGGATGAGGTGGACTGATTCAGCGACTGAGTGTCAGAGTGGTGGTAGGAGTGTCGGAGACAGTGAGATTGGCACAGGATAGAGCAGGGGTTAGGGCTGTTGTACATGGGGTCGCTATGAGTCACAGGCATCTCGATGGCACATAACAACAGTTTTGGTTTTGTGCTTTAACCTTTAAAGTAAAGAAAACAAGGAAGGGAAATACATTAAAATCTACTAGAAGCGAGGACTAGTATATAGTGGAAACCTTTCAGAGGAAAAAAAAAAAAAAAGGCAAACATTTTCTACTAAAAAAAAATCAACAAAAAAATAATTAAGACTGCACAAAGCCAAAGGCAAAAAACTTGTGAGGCTCAGAAAAACAAGGCACTGCCGTCCAGTGCCAAAAGCTGGCACTGAACTAACAGACATTATTGTTAAGTCAATTATGAGTCAATTCCAGATTGTACCAGTCTTAAAGCACAGAGCAGAACAGCTCCATGGGGTTTTTGACCCTCCAGTGAGTTTTCAGAGGCTGAAAACTGTATGTACAAGGGGATAAAATGTCCCATCTTTCTCTCATGGAACCGTTGGTGGATTTGAACTGCCTGCCTTTGGGTTGGCAGAGCAACTCTTTATCCCCTCATTGTTATGTGCCATAGAGTCGACTGCTAGTCGTTATAAGCCTAGGACCAATGGAACTGAGCCCTGCCCTATCCTTATCCCATGCCATGCTCACTGGGCCACCAGATAATAACAGCAGAGAAAAGTCTTTTAAAGCAAAGTTAAATTGAAAAACTGAAAAAAGTTAGTCAATATTCATCCACTAAGTATTATTGACTGTTTTCTTTGTACTGGGCTTTTTCTGGTGCTGTAGGCCAGCAGTATTATTTCAATATCCCTGCTAATGAAACATTACTCAAGTTTTGACTTAAGAATAAAGGGAGCAATAAATTCAAGTCTCTAAAGTCCAAAGAATATAGTCATTAAACTAATTTCATTTTTAAATCTGGGGAAAAAACCCTACTCTGCTCTTTTTTATCAATTTTTTTAAAAAAAAACAACTCATAGAAGGAAACGTCTTTAAGTTTTTAGAAAATATCTACCACAACTAAACAATGATATGTGAGCAGTCATCCCTTTGGTCAGGACCAGAAATGAAATGTCAACCTTCACTCATCTTATGTGATGCTGTACTAGAAATCCTGGTGAAATAATAAATAAATAGAAGAAATGATAGAGCTGAACTTTGGAAAGGAAGAAGTTAAAATTTTGAGATGTGCCCATGATTTGAATGCCCTGCATAAAAGATCCAAGAGGTTATATAATACAGATATGTCTTGGAGAATGTACAATCAGAGTGCTCATTCGAGGCAAGGCTGATGTAGCTTCATCTCTGACACTTTGGGCATGCTGCTAGGAGAAGCTATTCCTTGGACAGGGACTTGGTGTTAGGCAAGGTGGAGGGTTAGAAAAAGAGCAGACGACCATCAATGAGATGGACCGACACAGTGACTGTAGCAATGGCTCAGGTGTACTAGAGTAGATGAGAACGGCACAGGATAGAACACAGTCCAGGTCTGTTGTTCATAGGGAAACTGAGTTGTATTCCACTCGGCAGCATCTACCAACAAAAACAACGCAGTCTTTTGTTAAGAGTGAAAACTTGTGAAGCCAACTACTAAAACGTAGGGTGCACCAGTGCAAAACAGAATGACTAAAGGGCACAAACCAGAAGAACAGTGTTGCTTGTGGCTGCTGGCTGCCTCACTGCCTCACACGGGCTTGCCTCACTGCACTCCTATGGAAAACAGAAAGCAATAATGCTTGAGCCCGCCCCATCGCGGGATCTCCCTATGCAAGACACTGCGTCAGTCCGTCTTACTGACACCCTTCCCCATTTCTGCTGACCCAAAGAAGTAAGAATGTATGTATGTATGTATGTATGTATGTATGTATGTATGTATGTATATGTATATGTATATGTATATGTATATGTATACATACACTTAACTCACGAAAACAAACTGCAGGCTATGAAATGTGAATATATGAAAAGCAAAATCCTCTAAGAGAAAAATATAAAAACTGAAAAAGAACGCCATAGTCACTGAGTGAATGTTAACTCAGAGACCCTGTGGATTACAACTGCCCACTCAGGTTCCCCGTTTATAAATTTACAGAAGCGGAATCCATATCTTTCTTCCTTAGCAGCTGGTGGATATGAACTGTGAACGTTTTGCTTAGCAGTTCAATTTTTTTTTTAAACACACACATCTACAACAGATTTCTTTTTTTAAAGGAATGGACTGTGAGGAAAGAAAAAACATGAGGCAGAGAAAAGTATGAGATAGAAAATACAAATATAAGCTGATTTGCTAATTGCTTTATAACCACAACAAACTGGTACAGAGGAAGGTCCGGTACAAAACACAACAAGGGTTCAAAGATGGAGGCATTCTCTTAGCAAGGCTGGAGATTTCAGTCTCTGGTATTTGGAATTTAGGCTGCAGTCCTTGTTTTTGGATGGACAAATACAACATAGAGAAGGACACTGCAGCCCACATCAAGAAGGAGTTTGACAAGAAGTACAACACACATACCCCCACCACCGCACTGCATTGTGGAGAGAAACTTCAGTAGTTAAGTGACACGTGAAACTAAGCACTTCATGTACAAATGGCCAAGGTGCCACTCTTCTGTTCAAATCTGGTTAAAGAATGGACTGTGCCCCCCCCACACCCAGTGAGCCATCCAAAAACAAGGACTGCAGCAGTTCAATTTTTAATGGCTATGCCCCAGAGGCTACTGTAAGAGAACTGTATGTGGTGGTGGTGGTGGTGTTAGAAATACACAGGGGGTTAGTATAATAGCACTATAGGGAGCTCTGGTGGCTAGTGGTAAAAAGCTTCAATACAATCCTGAAGGCACATGGTTCAAATCCACCACCTGCTTCACGAGAGAAAGTTAGGTAAATTTTTTCCATGAGATTAAATGCCTCTGAAAACCCACTAGAGTGTTAGCTATAGGTCAGTTCTGCCTCAAAAGCACACAACAATAAGGACTGTGGTGGCTTAGTGATAAGAAGTTGTGCTGGACACTCAAAGGCACATGGTTCGCATACACTAGGTCACAGGAAAAAGATGGGCAATGTCCTGCTGTGCGATTCCCTGCCTCTGAGAATCCACCGGAAAGTGAGTTATGAGAGTTGTTTGTGACTTGGCAGTACACAAGAACAACACAACACTGAGGAAGGAGAAATGAATTTGATTCTTTGACCCGTGAATCATAAAACTAGCAGGGGGAATAACCATTGTTTTGCTGCTAGCATATCTGAACATTATGCAGTTTCTGAATAGTTCCTCTACCCTAAATCCCTAGATACCTCTGCAGCTATGGTGCATGCACATACGCAACCTGACTCTTGCTATAAGAAGCACACACCTAGGTATGACTTGCACCCTGACATAGTCAACGCAAGGCAAGAGTACACCCGGAAGATTAATCTTCTTGGTACTGGCAGTAAGCAGATAGTGTGTAGGTTGGTATTGGCAAAGAGTGAGAAGCTTCTGGTGTCCACTCCGAAGTAGCCCAGTGGGCCAGTGATGCAACAGCGAGTTCTCACACAGGAAGCCCAGAGTCCTTGAGTGTCAAATTCAAGGGAGGGTTTTGAATTGGAAAGAATTTCTTTTCTCTTTAAAATTAGACAGGAAGGATACTGGGATTTTTTTGCACTTTGACAACCCTGACCCACTCCTCACTTTACCTTGCTCCTTAAATTTTGTTTACGTTGGTTAAATGGTTAAGATTACTACTGAAAATCATAGCATCTCAAGTGAACAACAAAAGGCATTTATGACAAATATCACCAATTTCAATTTGGGACATTGATTTTACTCAGAAATTGTACTTCTTTTAGCATTTTTAAATCTAAAACTATTTTTTCCTTTACTCTTCTTTTCTACTTATGGATACGAAATATAAATCTGAGGAACACCTGTACTTAAGAGTGTTGCATGCAAACCCACTAAGACCCACTGTCACTCGCTCTCAAAGCAAACATACAGCACAAGAACTTTCTCACAGAGTTTCCAAGGCTGTAAATATTTACAGAAATTCACTGCCTTGTCTTTCCCTGCAAAGCAGCTTGCAGGTTTGAAACACCAACCTGGGAAGCAGATGAGTGTTTTAAGTATTGTACCAGTAGAGCTTCTAAAACCATCATAGTCTTTGTTTTCTATCTAAAGAAACTGAGTATATGAGGTGGCAGAACTTGGTTCATATTTTTGACAAATGTTTGCAATGACCAAGTCTTTAGCACTCCATTATATAGTTTTTGTCAATATTCCCGATGTATCTTGGGGGAGAAAAAAAAAATTTCACATATCAAAATATTCTATTCTTGAAGTATCTCTCTTAAAAAAATTAGGTTCATATCTTTTTTTACGTTAACAAACAAAAGCATGCTTTTACATTAAGTCTATTGCAATTATCATTCCTATAAAATGTACTAAACTTC